TATATATATATATATATATATATATATATATATATATATATATATATATATATATATATATACAGTCGTGTGCAGTAAAACAGTAGTGCGTATTTTATTTTTCTATTGTTTGTTTTTTATCGTTATTATCCATAAACTGAATGTTGTGATTATAACAGTATAAAAAAAATTTTAGAAAAATAATTGCAGCACTGTATGGTTTTAAATTTCAATATTATTTCAATATTAAATTTCAATATTTTAGACTGTGCAATAAAATAGTAGTGAAAAATTAATTGACGTCGACCTTCGAATTTCGCAGACTGTATATATATATATATACAGTATGGGCCAAAAAAAACCGGCCAAGAAATTTTATGTGGTTACAAAATTTCTATGTAAAATATACAGAAAACAAATTTAATGAGTGATTTTATTTAAAGAATCAATATATAAATATCATGCTTTTAACACGTATATATAAAACGTATATATAAAATGTATATATATATATATTTAAAACGATAAAAAAAACCACCAAAATGTCTTTTTGAAGAAAATCACATTAAAGCATTAAAAGACACACTTAATAATGTAATGATGATTTAATAAATACAAAAATATTACCAAATATACATAGTACAAAATAATTGTTGGCAGAATTATTGTATTCTATTATTATCTTGAAAGAGTCATTTTATTTAAAACAAAATCTCAAAATCTAGTACTTGGTCATAGCACCTTTTGCAGCTAAGACTGCTTTGATTCTTTCAGGCATACTGTCAACAAGCTTTGTTAATAACAATGGTTCTAAGCTATTCCATGCCTCTTTTACGCAATTGAAAAGACAAACTTCATCATTACACATTCTTCTTTTAATTTTATCTTCGAGTATGGACCATAGGTTTTCAATTGGATTTAGGTCGGGAGATTGGCTTGGCCACCATTTCAGAGTTAGCATATTTTTTTCAATATATACTTTGTTATATTTTGCAATATACTTAGGATCATTATCTTGTAGAAATAGATAGTTACCATCTGGAAATAATTTCAAGCAACTTGGCTTTGCATTATGAACAAGGATACTATGGTACTGGTATTGATCCATATTGCCTTTAATCTTGTGAATCCTTTCTGTAGCATGCGCGGCAAAGCATCCGCATATGTTAATCTTTTTTTGATACTTAACTGTGGCTTTTATTCATTCATGGTGATACTTTTCATTACTACGCCTCCTAACACGAAATCTTTGATTACATCTAAAGCTAAAAGGAGACTCATCTGACGAAACAACTTGTCTCTATTGGGTAATAGTCCAGTCTTTATGCTCAAAAAAAAAGAGCTTAGGTCAAGATAAAAAGTTTTTTTTCTTATTGGAGAAGCTAATCCAGCTGTATGAGGTGATAAAATTTTGATTGATGATTATATTCTCTTTATTTTGCACTCAAATTATACTTTTTAAGCATAATTTAATGCTTACATGTGCACTTTATATAAGGAAAAAATAATGCTATTGTTTATAGTATTACGTTTTCTAAAAAAAATTAATTTTATAAAAAGTAATCAAGTATTGAAGTATTATACACATCAATATTATACACATCAATAAATGCTTTTTTATACTATTAAGGTATTCAACTTCCAACTGGAATGGAAATACTAAAAAACTTTTACTACATAAAATCTTCACTGAAACAAATGCGAAAAAGTCATCAATACTATATTGCATGCTAAAAAAGATAAAAGAGAGTTAGTGCAAAAACGGTTTTATGAAAACCATTTTTGCATAAATGAAAGAGTAATATGCAAATGAGTTTATGTAATCTATTTAAATGTTTATAATCTATAATAAATTAATAATAAAGTTATTGTATAACTTTATTATTAATTTATTATAGATTACACTGTTTGTATATTTTTAGGTTCTAAAAATATGCAAGCACACTAACTTCATTATCTAATTCATTTATTGCCAATAATAAATAATAGTTAACCGTCCCAAAGATCTGGAAATACTTGCTAACTTATTGGACATAGCAGTTAACAACCTCAAAAAAGAGCTTGGTAATGGGACATTATATAAAAAAACTTCAGTGAAAGCTATCTAAAAAAATACTATTCAATATCACCATTTTGAAACGCTATGATAATTTATCATTAAAAAGTCTAAGTTGCGTTTTTTTATTTTCTTTAATGTTTTACTTTGTTTAATGTTACATTGTACTTGGAAATGTGCTATTCTCTCAAAAAAGTGTATAAGTCTTTAAGCAGATCAAAGCAGTCATTTGCTGATTTATTTAATAATAAGGTTTGGCCAGAAAAAATAAATAACAATCAAAAAAACTTATTACTGCCCCAAACCAAACCTATATCTATCAAAGTATGTACTGAGTCCTCTGGCAGCTCCCTATTTCATTATGATGTCAGAGTATTGATCTAAGCATGCTCTTGTATGAGTTTATATATACATATCATCTATGTATGTGTTTGTATATACATATGTATGTATGTGTGTGTGTCTATATATATACATATATATATATATATATATATATATATATATATATATATATATATATATATATATATATATATATATTATATATATATATATATATATATATATATATACATATATATTTTATCTATATATATTAGGGGTGTTCAAAAAATAAAATTTTTAAAACGCGAATACACAAGAAGCCAATTTTGGGGAAAATATAAAAAAAATACAATGACAAAAAAAAAAATAATTCTAAAAATATTGACTTTACCCTGTGCTCAAGTGGCAAAAAAACCTCAAAAACGCCCCAAATTGTTCCTAAATAATATGTCTTTGAGCACAAGGTAAATCTCAATATTATATAAAAAAAAATTTTCTAATGTGATCATAATAGTCCAAAATTTTTTTTTAGATTAATGTGTATCCTGAAATAAAAAAAGATTTTGCATAATTTATGCAAAAGAAAAAAAACTTATTTCTTTGTGTATTTGCGCAAAATTATTTTTTTGAAAAATCTTTTTTTAATATAAACAACAATTATGAAAAAACTAGGATACACAACTATCTAAAAAAAAACTTTATGATCACATTAGAAAAAAAGTCTTACAAAATATTGAGATATACCTTGCGCTCAAAGCCAAATAATTTAGAAATAATTTGGGGCAATTTTTAGGGTATTTTGCCACTTGAGCATAAGGTAAATGTCAATATTTTTGGATTTTTTTTTTTTATTTGCCCCAAATATACACACACACATAAGTGTGCATATGTAAATATTTTAGTATTATCATAGTATATTTTTGTATACTTAAAAAAGTGCTCAATAGATAAATTAGAGCTATATAATAAATATTACTTAATGTTACCTGCAATACCAGGAACTAGCTCAATGCTAATATTTATAATAAAATATTACCACAATTATCAGGCAAGTAGTAAAAAGTTAAGTTTGCTACTGCAGCCAACTTCAAACCATTATCACATCATCGTAAGGTTGCTTCTCTTTCTTGTTTCTATAAATACTATGATGGGCACTGCTCTAAAGAGCTAGCGTCTCTTGAGCCATCTACTAAAATTCATTCTTGTGTTACCCATCATTCAATTAAGTCTCATACTTTTACTATGACTGTTCCTATGCGCTGCAAAAATTTTTATTCGCCTAGTTTTTTTCCTGGAACATCATTCCTTTGGAACTAGCTTCTTTCATCTTGTTTTCCTGATTCATATAATTTGCAATTTAATAAGTCGTCTGTTAATCATATCTTGCTCTACAAATTTCATCTTTTCTCTTGCAGTAACTTCCAACTCTAATAGTGGTTGTCTTTTTGGTACAGCCTTTTTGGAGGTGAACACAAAAAAAAATGTATGTATGTATGTGTGTATGTGTATATGTATATATATACATATATACAGGCCTGGGCGGAGGAGCAGCTTGCATGACTCGCCATGTTTGTTTTAAAAGAGCTTTTGCTGTTCTTGAACTCATTTATTCCCGCCGATGCCTATATATATATATGTGTGTGTGTGTGTGTGTGTGTGTGTGTGTGTGTGTGTGTGTGTGTGTGTGTGTATGTGTGTGTGTGTGTGTTTATGTATGTTTATGTATGTTTATGTATGTTTATGTATGTGTATATGAGTATATGTATATATGTATATATCTATATATAAATAAACTTTGAACAAAATTTTATTTTAATATTAAACTGCTCAATTGTCTAGATATTTAACTTTATACATTCATAATTATTATCAGTAATAATAAAAAAAACAAAAACAAATTATTATTACTATTTTTTTATTATTACCAGTAATACTAAAAAACTAATAAATAATGTTATAATAATACTAACTTTAACTACTCAAAATTTTCGCCTTTTTTTTCATCTAAAACACATATATAATCAGTAACTTCTATTAGACAAATTGTAGGAAAATTAAATTTTTACTACTTGCTTAATGATTGTGGTAAAACATGAAACTCTAAGCAGCAATATTCTATTATGTATATTATCATTTAGCTACTTCTTGGTACTGTGGGTAACACACACACACTTTGACTTTGGAATTAAGAATTTCAAGGGCTGAAATATGTGTATATATATATATATATATATATATATATATATATATATATATATATATATATATACTATAGCATATTTATGTGCGCAATTGCTCACTTTTTTTGCTAGCCTAAATTAAGTGAGCGTTTTTAGAAAACGATGAGGGAAAACAAAGAATAATGAATGAAAAGGTTGCTGACCCATACCAAACCCTCAGTCGATGTAGCAGCACTCCACTGCGAGTCAGGCTATTTGTCAGTCGATGTATGTACTGAAGCCCCAGCAGCAGGCTATTTGACGTTAGGTGAGTATGTCATCATCATACTCACCTAACTCAGCAGTATAAGATATATACACACATATATAATGGGAATAAATCAACAAGTTAAATCAACTAGCAGAAGAAGTTAAAAATTAAAAAAAAAATTTTAAATAAATTATTTAATTGCACTTACCAAAAACATCTAATATATAAGAAGATGGAAATACAAACAACAAAAAGATAATAGCTCCCCAATCAGAAAGAAGTGATATTGTTCCTGTATTCCATCCAAATACAACATGAACAGTTGATTCAATTGGTCCCCAAGAGTTCCAGGCAATACTACTTAATGCTGAAGAGCAGGAGTACAAAATTAAAATATACCAGCGATACCTGTCAATAAATATGAAAAATATTGCATTAATATGTTTATATAATAAGATGATAGCTAAAGTATTCTATATATATGAATATATCGTACATGTATATATATGCAACCCTCGGAATTAGGAAAAATGAGGTCGGCAATAATTTGCTGACCTCAATCTTTTTAAGGTCGGCATCAAGTCGGCAAAAACTATTTGATACAAAGGTTTAACCATAAAACATAGAAACGAGGTCGGCAATTTTTTGCCAACCTCAAACACAGCATTAAGGTTGGCATTCGGCAATGCCGAATTCTGAGGGTTGATATATATGATATATATTATAAAGTATTTATGTGTCTCATATATGAGAACCTAAGAACAACAGTCTACCTAAATTAAACTCATCACTAAGCTTTTGAAGTTTAATTTCATAATTTTAGTTCGACTCACTCTTTGACATTGATATTATTAAAAAATATAAAATTGTAAATGTAAATATAACATGCTATTAACCAATCACCTCCCCCTCCCTCATCCAAAAGAAAATTTTAAAAATTTAATAATGTCTACTAAGACCACTACATTAAAACATTAAATTATTTATATCTAATATTATACTAAATCACAGGACCCGTAAAAATACGGGTCTTTGTAAATCTATTCCACACCAATCTCATTCAATAAAATTGTTTTAAAAGCAAAAAAAAATTAACATGCACACCTTTTTCGCATATGAAGAGCTTATAAGAGATTTATAAAATGGTTTGTTTTTCACTTAAACGTATAACTTTGATAGCTCAGTGGAATAGTGCGCTGTCATCAGTGCTGTTTCCGATGGTTCAATTCCACCCCTGAGCATAATACATTTTAAATAATTTCAAATGCTATATATATTTAAAACAAAACAAAAAAACATATAGCAAAAAAAATTTAATTAAAATTGGTGTTTTTCTGCTTTTTTAAAGCATTTTTGTAGGGGTTTTTTGCATAAGTTTTGGAATATTTTTCTTTTATTCTGGTATAATTAATCTAGTATAATAGTATATGATCATTAAAAGCAAAATGTATAAACACCAATTCAAATTATATTTTTAATAAAAAGTTAAATTAGCTATAAGTTAGTTATATATCTAAGCATACTGTATGGGAATGTTTATTTGTCTTGCTGTACTTCCAAACAACTGAGATACTCTCATTATATATAAAAACTATTTTTATCCTATAAGAAAGTTACCATTTTAATTTTGATAATGTAATTATATTAGTATATAATACCAAGTAAACTTAATATCAGACTTCAAATGCTCAAAAAAATAAACAATCTATCAAGATTATTTATTTCTTTGAGCAATTGTACATTAAGTAGTAATTTAGTCTTACATTATTTTTTATTGTAATTGTCAAAAAAGGACATATCACAAGTAGGTTCTTATAAAAAAAAGCCTTAAAATGAACTTAAATTCAATGAAAATTTAAAAAATTTTGAATTATTTTTATTTACTGAGTTTCCCAGACCACCTTTATCTGTTGATTCATAATTTATTTATTCATAATTTACTTTCTTATCTGCATTCTTTTTCTAATTATACGATTTATTTATCTAGACAACTTCATATAGTACTATGTCAGGACACTTACAAAAAATTTTTAACATGCTTTGTTGTTCAAATTCAATTTTTAGACATTATCTTACGGTAAAAAGAACATTTAACTATATCCATTTTGATATATAATTAAAGAGAGAGAAATGATACTTTTAAATTATTGTTATATAATATATGAACAATAATTTAAAGATATCCTTTCTCTCTATCTCTCTCTCTCTCTCTCTCTCTCTCTCTCTCTCTCTCTCTCTCTCTCTCTCTCTCTCTCTCTCTCTCTATATATATATATATATATATATATATATATATATATATATATATATATATATATATATATATATATATATATATATATATATATATATATATATATGTATGTATTTATAAATATTATGGTGTCTTAAAACCCTTTAAGATGGAAAATCACAACTCAGTGTTTCTAATGTGGTCTGGTTATCTTTTGTAAATTGAGAGGGGGTCACTGTGTCATCTTTCTGAGGCTATAATTTCTGGACTGTAGGGCTTGTCTGAAATTTCAAATTAATCTATAAATGATAAAATAAGTAATTAGTTTAAAAAAAAGTCAAACTAACTTTTGAATGAAGTTTATGTAAAAATATTTGTTACAAATGTATGAATGACAATTATGTTTGATATAAGCGCTATTTACTAATGAAAAAAACTCAAATAAAATTATAAGTTTATATTTATTTTGTTTTTATATTTATTGCAACGATTGATTTTTTAAGCTTAAAGCAAAGATAAAAACATAATTTAATTCTGATAAAAAAATATATGATTTAATTTAAAACTAATTTAATAAAGATATATGATTTTATTCTAATAAAAAAAATATATTTAAGTTTATTAAATTTAAGGTTAATGCTTAGGTTTAACTTAACGGTCAAATTTATTTAAAAATATTACTAAATATTATTCAATATTGAAATTTTATTTGTTTTTTTAAAAACAATTAGCTTTTTTTTATTGCAATTTTACTGGTTTTCCTTCTTAAACATTTTATTTTTTTACTCATAATATAGTTTTAAATAAACGGCTTCATCAAAAATGTGCACAAAACATTTGTTAACAAAAAGTTAAACATTTTTATCATGCAAGTTAAATCACAGTGATTATTTTTTAATAAATGATATACAGCAATATAATTTTAATAAAATAATAAACTAATGAACTTTTAATAAATAAAGTAAATAAATTAATGTAATTTTTTTATTTGTTACTTACTAATTATTTTTAACCCTTTATTGTTTACAGTAGCCATATGGCTACTATCGATTTCTAGAGTTATTTGTTTTGTTGATAATGTATTATACATAATATACTATAAATAGTAATACATTATTTGTTTCTAAAAGTACCAGCTTAATACAAAAATAAAAACTCTTCAAATAAGGGTTTCAAGACAATATTTTTAAAAACAGAGTTGATGAATTAGTAAGGGTTTTTTGACTTGCTTTAGTACTATATTGCTAATTGTGAGCGAATAAAGTTTTATTAATGCTGACGATTGGGTATAATTCAATATTGTGTTTTCAAAGGTTATAAAATTTGTGTAAAAAGTAGTTTTTGAAAATTAATTCATAAAGTTGCTGTTCTGCCCTCATAATTATATTGGTAGCCATATGGCTACTCTGACCAGAACTGGAATAAATTTTGAATATATATAAATATATATATATATATATATATATATATATATATATATATATATATATAATATATATATATATATATACATATATATATATATATATATACATATATATATATATATATATATATATATTATATATATATATATATATATATATATATATATTTTAATGACATCCTTATAGTATGATTAAATTTACGTATAAAATTGAAAATACATCATATACGGTGACATACGATTTATTTAACTATTAAAATTTTTTAATTTTAAATGTGATATTTTGGCTCATATAGTTTGAAAATGGCTCCAACTATATGAGCCGAGATATCACATTTAAAATTAAAAAATTTTAATAGTTAAATAAATAGTATGTCACCGTATATGATGTATTTTCAATTACATATATATATATATATATATATATATATATATATATATATAATATATATATATATATATATATATATATATATATATATATATATGTAAATATGAATATATATTTATGAATATATATATTTATATATATATACATATATGAAGGATTGTCCCGAAGAGGCCTTCCGTGGAGGATGGAGGGGGGATGTTGTATGTATTTTTGCCAACTGAAGACAAAAGGAAAAAAAAACTCCCAATATTTGCAATTTGCCAACTATAATTTAAAGTTTGACATGCTGACAAAGTTTGACATGCTGGTCTTCTCCATAAGCTTGCTTCATATGGTCTATTTAGGAAAGTTTTTGAAATTAAAAAACTTTCTAACTGCTTTATCAAAGTTATTCTTGAAGGCCAACACTATTCTTCATTTCCAGTAACTTATGGGATACCTAAAGATTCTATCCTTGGTCCTGTTTAGTTTCTTATCTAAATTAATGAACTTCAAGACAACCTTATAGCTGAAGTAGCTCTTTTTGCTGATAACTCAACTTTATACTCCTGTCTTGACAAAAAATCTTTTCTTTATGATCGCTTAGAACAGGCAGCAGATCTTGAATCTGATCTCCTAACTCAGTTATTTACTGCAAACAACTATCACAATACTATCTCTACAAATCTCTTATCCTCCCTGTATGGAATACTTTTGTCATACTTGGGTTGGTTCTTCTAATGGTGCTTCTTCACTTCTAGACAAGGTCTGAAAATGCATTGTAAATGCTGTTAAACCCACTATATCTGAGTGGGTCCAACTATCTAAGTCTCATTTGTTTACTGAATTTGTCTCTAAAAACTTTTATTCGTCTAGCTTCTTTCACTGCATTTCAATCCTTTGAAACTCTCTCCCATCTTCATGTTTTCCTCACTCATACACCCTATAACACTTTAGGCATTCTGTCAATCATTTCCTTGCTCTAAAACTCTATGCATTTTTTTTCCTAGTAACTACCAACTTAATAGTGGTTGCTTTGATATATTTATATATATTTATATATATTAATATATATAAATATATCAAATATTAAATATAATTAGATATAATAAATTTAAATAAATAACGTTTATTGTGTCAATATATAACACTAAAATCAATTAAGATAAAATTGAGGAAGATAAAATTATCTAAGAAGTTTTTATACAAGACTGCTCCAACCGTGTTAACCATTAAGCATACCAAAATAAAGAGAATTTCAGTAAACTTCAGTATTAATTGTCCTATGTAAATTTAAAATTAAAAAATGAACTAAGATATTGCCATTAAAGTTAAATTAAGTAGCTTAAATAATAAATCTTTAAATATTTCCACAAAAAAAAAAGGACCATTATGTTTTTTTCCAAAAACAAAAAAAATGTGTCACATCTTTATGTAAAACCATCAAAAAATAGTAATAATAATAAAAACTTAAATAAGAGTAATTGTGAAGTTAGTAGACTGCTCAATGACATTTAAATTTTAAATTAAATTATGCTTTTTAAAATTTGATTTAAATGCAGACAGTGAGGGCGAGTTCACTATACAGCTTGGAAGTAAGTTCAATACTTTAATGATTCTTTCACTATAAAAAAATTTTCTAGTATCATTAATATATTAATAACATAAGGTAAACTTTTGTGAATGACCTCTTGTAAAATATTTTGAGTTGGAAAAAGTAAAAAAATCTGAAAAAGGTAAATCAACAAGATTATGTACAACTTTTCAAGTCATATAAAAATCAAATTTAACTCTGCGATATTCAAGAGATTCAACTTGGAAGACAGTGACAGTCTTCCAAAATTGAAACCTCTTGAATATCACAGAGATAAGTTATCAGTGTATGTCATATGTTAATTCTGGTAAAATAATTTTGAATGATGAGGGCTTTAAACTGGGGTGCAAGATTCTAATACAGGCCATACAGTTTCAATACTGATAACGGAGTTTAATGAATAAGGATGAGTAGGTATATTATATCTTTCATAACATAAATAAAAATATTTGTTGGTTGATATTTTTACCAACGATTAGACCATTCTGAGATTTTTTTAAAGTGTTAACAAGATGAATTTTGTTGTAATCATTTCTTGATTGATACAATTTAATACAATCTGCAAACAGCTTAATTATACACAATTGCTCCATATATTGCCTCCAAACTTAACTTTTTAAAGATTTTTACACTTACAGATGATTGTATGTAACGCTATACAAATGGAATTTTTATACTTGCATAATTTTAAATGACATATTGTTATTACAAACATATTAACATATATGTATATAAATCTGTTGAACTTCCTTATAAAAATGTGCAGAAAGACTCTTTCTCGCCATTACCTCAGCTTTAATGGCTGCTAAGGGTTCCTTGTCAAACATGCACAAGTGGGTACTAGCATTACTGTAAAGTTTAGTAATAATATATAAAAAAAACAATTTAAAATACCATTCTGCACAAGCCGTCTCTAGAAAGCCCTTTAAGAACACTTAACCATTGGATGGCTAGTTCTGATAGATCAAAAAAAAAAAAAGTTTAAATGAAGGTTAACAAGATCTCAAAAGAACCAAAGCTTGATGAGGTTTTAAAAATAATATTAGTTTTCAATAAAAAGACAACACTTTTTATGGTGGGGAAACTATTTTACAAACAGGAAAAAAGTGACAATCTCAAGCAACTATTTGGAATAGTGATCTAAAATGGCATGTAAGAGTATCTAAGTGTTTGACCTATTTAGATAGTAGGCATACATATCATAATATCTAAATAGACATACATATCATAATATCTAAATAGATAATAAGCACTGTCAGTTACAGCATAAAAAATTTAAAAAAACATACAATATTAAATTTTATTAAAAAACAAAAATCTGAGATGAAATATTCTAAATAATAAGGAAAGAAATTACAACTTCACTAGACTAACGTTAAATAAACTGAATAACATGACAAAGATTTTGATTGCATAACTCGGTTCCATATCGATTGCATAACTTGGTTTGGGCTGTCCGACCCAAAAAAGTTATGATCAAATAATTTGTTCGGAACTTTATAGAAAATTAAATTGAGCCCTGTAGAATAACAATGAATTATGGATCTTTTGTGCATATGTTAAATTTAATACTTTATTTTTGTATGCAAATTTAATATGATCAGGAATAAAACTTATCAGTTATAATAAAGTACATATTTTTTAAAATATACCAATAAACACCAGTTTCAACAATTTTACTTCCATTTACGCAAATACTATCTGACTTCACAATTATAGCAGTTAAATCATTTTCTTTTGAAAGTAGTAGTTTTTCATCATTTTCCATAGTCATGATTATATCTATAATCACAAATAAAAATTATATATAAAAAAGGTTAACTTGTTATAAATATTTTAATAGAAAATAAAAAATAAAAAAGCCAAAGAAGCAAAATTGTTATTCAAAATCAATTACTGTTTTAAGTTACTATTTTAAAATTGTTTTAGTACCACTTATATAAAAAATATACTTATAAAGTAAGTAACATAAACTTTACAGTTTTTTGCATATGCAAAATCAAACTATGTTTCAAAATTCACATTTAAATTGCAATTTAAAGAAATACAAGAAAAGCAATTTTTAGTTCATTGTTGAATGCTGATTATAGTTAACAAGCATTAGGTTTTAAAAAAAGGAGTTAAAATCACAAGTTGCTTGTTTGTAAGCAACTATTTATTTAATTATATACATATATATGTATATTTACATGTGTGTGTACATATATATAAATATATATATATATATATATATATATATATATATATATATATATATATATATATATATACATATATATATATATATATATATATATATATATATATATATATATATATATATATTCTTCGAGCATCGCATTAGCAATAAATTTGTAAAAAATTTAATAAAAATCAAAATATTTTTTATTCTTGACATGTTTCGTAGTCTTACTACATTTTCAAAAGATTTAATTTACAATTAAAACTCTGGTAAATAAATTTAAAAACTGAAGACAATACAGAGAAAAAATTATAAAATTGATAAAATTATTAAAAAGTATTATAAAAATGTAATAATCTAATTTATATTCACAACCGATAAATTAAAAAACAGTTTTTGCATAAAAGATCCACTTCCTAAGATGCTTAAATCTAATGTTGTCTACAAATTTTCTTGTGCTGGCTGTAACGCCAGTTATATTGGAGAAACCTCCAGACATTTGACAACAAGGATAAATGAGCACCTTACGAGTGACAAGCAATCGTAAAATTTTTAAACATTTAAATTCATCCATTAATTGTAAAACACTAACTTATTATGATTGCATTCAGATTTTGGATACTGCCTCTACCATTAACAAATTAAAAATAAAAGAAGCACTTCATATTAAATGGGAAAATCCTTCTTTAAATAAACAAACATCTCATTATATTATAAATTTATCTATCTAACTTACTATATTATTACTATTATTAATATTTTAATATTAGGAAGTTTATTTTGTCATAATTTGTAATATAATTTTTAATTGGCTTGTAACAAGTTTATTTGTCCATTAATTTTTTCTCTGTATTGTCTTCAGTTTTTAAATTTATTTACCAGAGTTTTAATTGTAAATTAAATCTTTTGAAAATGTAGTAAGACTACGAAACATGTCAAGAATAAAAAATATTGAGATTTTTATTAAAATATATATATATATATATATATATATATATATATATATATATATATATATATACATATATATATATATATATATATATATATATATATATATATATTTGTTTTTTACAAGTTATGAATAGAAAACTTAAAAAGAAGCAGTGACAGAATACCACTTTGACATATTGATTTCGTTTCCTGGCATCTAACAAACATTTATTGATAATATTTTTTGGATATACCTATATCTAGTAATTTGCAAAATAATACCTAGTAATTACCACTATCAAATGCTTTATTGAAATCTTTGAAACAGGTAAATACATTCTTTTAGCTGTTTAGTAATGAACAGTTTCTTTCAAATAATGTTAAAATAAATTTGTACATGACATTGTTAAGTGCTTCTGTTTAAACCTAAATTGATTTTTAATTATCATCTTTGTTATTACTAATCAATATGCTGATTTTCTGCAACAAAATACTTTTAAATACTTTTTACACAAGGGAAACTGCTTTAGCTCTATAGTTGTTCACAATTGTTAAATATGCCTGCATGAAGAAAGTAAAAAAGAAAATGTACCAATAAAAAATGATGCAAGATCATCACTCTTTGAAACTAAGAATAGTACACATATAACAGACATGCTATTGCAGTAGCTACATACTATAGTATGTGGCTAAAGCCAAGCCAGCATGTGATCAAGTTGCTGCATAGACTATAACAGCAGTCATGTTTGATTACTATTCAACCAGCAATCAAGAGCTCCTTTAAAACAATTAATGGATTCCGCAGTTACAATTTATTTGGAAGTAAATTCTATGCCTTTGTAATTCTGGTAAAAAGAAAGTATTCCCTCAAAGGATGATTAATAAATTCTTTGTGGTATTTAAAGTAATTCCGATTTAAACAGTTTTTAATAAGTGAAAAACTGTTTATCATTTCAATAACATGCATTGGTTTAAATAATTTAATCAAATCTTCCTTTTTTCTTCTCTCAGTTAAAGTTGTCAAGCCTAAGGCAACGAGTTGATCTTCATATTTGAGACTGTTGATTGATGTAACAAATTTAGTTGTTTTGTATTGTATTTTCTCAATTGCATTACAATCTTTTTTATATAAAGAGACAAAATTGGAACTGCAATTTCAAGAAGTAAAAAAATGAATGTTAAATAAAAAGATTTCATTAGATCTCACAATGCACTTGTTTAAGTTGAAATTTTGACTTAAATACATTTTTTAAGTCATTCAAGATTTCTTTGACACAGTCTGATCTGAAGTTACCCCTGGTAAAATTTTGGTATCTTTAGCGTATAACTTTAAAATATTTTTGATTGTATTGGCAAAACATTAATGTAGACAACAAAAATGAATGGTCTAATAACTAAAAACTAAGGCACACCACTAAAAACATTAACCTACTTAGAGACAATGTCACCCTAAACTACTGTATCCTAATTCTTAGAGAAAATCTAATCTATTTCAGTACTAATCCATCGATAAGCTTTTATTTTTAGCAACAACATGTTATGAACAATTGTGTCAAATGCCTTTGCAAAATCCATTAGAACAATATCAACTGGAAAATGTTTAACATTTAATATTATAAAATTCATAACTAATTTGAGAAATCTTTAATAGTCTGGCATATTTTATATTCGTAACTTAAGTCAGGATCTCTACATTTGTTAGCAGTTTCTATACTTCTAATTTGTCATATAAATTGATTGCAATGCAGGAGTATTAAATCAATTTATTATATATATATATATATATATATATATATATATATATATATATATATATATATATATATATATATATATATATATATATATATATATATATATATATATATATATATTTGTTATCAACAGTTTCCTTTTGTTTTTAAGAAAGTAATTGAATTTGTGTAGAGTTTACACAACATTAATATTGTTTACACTGTAAACAATATTAAAACTAAAACAATTATAAAGATATATAATATATATATATAATAATATATATGTATAAATGTATATGTATTTGTATAAATATATAATATATTTATACAAATACATATACATTTATACATATATATTATTATATATATATAATATTATATTATATATGTAAATATATAATATATATATAAATATATATATATATATATATATATATATATATATATATATATATATATATATATATATATATATACATATATATATATATACATCAAAAAATAATAAAACCAATTCTAACTTTTATATGTATTTTAAATGTATTATTTTGTACATGTAGTATTTTATTCGCCGCGGATATCCTTTTATTATTATATTTTCTTTTTTATATTCGATAAGAGCAGGATACAGTGCCGTTAAGTTAAGAGTTTTATTTATAATAGTTTAAATAACTGATCCTTCTTCCGCTCATCAAGTTGCTGAAGTTTTTTGTTTTTTTTTAATATTATGACAACCTACAGAAAGTCAAAAGACACAAATATGTTAGTCTGTTTTTAATGGTTTACGCGAACCATGACTGCATATTTACCGTAATTTCAGGTAGCGTGACTAGTAAACGATATTTCGTCAGACTTTTGAGTTATTGCACTTAGAAGTGTATCAAGTACGTCCGAAATGTTTAAGTACATGACGTATAAATATAACTTATATTATACGTAGGGTAAAGTGACCAAATTCCAGGCGCATCTTTACAAAATTGTTTCTACAGACATATTAACAAAGAGGTCTATATGAAAATTATACATTTCTAGAAAGATAAATCTTTCAGCATTTAGGATATAATTACAGCAATTATTATAAATAAAAAAGGTTGGATAAAACAACGATTACAAAAAGTATATAAATTTGACCAAAAATACAGCCACTATGACCAAATTTCAGCCAGGCGTATGCGGAATGAACCTAATTACAGCCAATATAAATAACAAGCTTTTTATAATACTTTAATGGGTTGGCATTTAAATATTTTAAAATTAACTGAATTACTAAATATTGAACCAATAATTTTTTTGATGTGATCTTAAACATCAGTTAGAAAATGATTGCTTAACTTAATACTAAGCATTCATCAACAAATAAACTTAGTAAGGATGCCTAAATCTAAAAAAAATAAGTTTTCAGGACATGATTTTAAAACTATTCAAAAATGATTTTGAAACTATTTTAAAAGATTTGCATAGAATATAATATTCACATTAAAAAAAAAAAGAATTCAGTGAACTCTATAAAAGACTTTTTTAAACACTAAGAACAAAAATTCATAACAACATGATCAAATTACACATTGCTTTTTTATACTTTTATTGGTTCATTTTTATAGCAACGGTTTTTTTCTAGGATTATCTTTTGACAATACCGTTGCTTCCTTTATTTTTAAGTTTTTAGTCTTTTCAATTTACGCATTTCTTTTTCCTTTTCATTTTGAGCTTGTTTTTGCTTCTGCTTTAACTGTAACTCATATGCTTCCTTAGAAGTAAGCACAAAAAACTTGTCTGCATTCTTAGCTTTTTTGCTCTTTGTAAAATTTGGATAAGAATATGGCAAAATGTCATTATCTCCATCTCCTGGATAAGATGAATTTTTAAAGGGGAAATTTGGGGCAAAAGATCTAGTTTTTGCAAAATCAGAAGCTAAAAGAGTTGAAACTGTAAAATCAACTTCATGCTGATCAATAGGCTGTTCAATATCAGAGTAAGACATAATCCTAAAGCTGTCTTGAAACTTACTAGTAGCTTTATTACTTGCAGCTTTTAGTTCTATAGTTTTCATATTTAGTTCCACTAAATCATCACTCCTATGTTCTACTACGGTTATTGGTTCAGCTAAATAGTCGTGATCATTTGTTACAGCAAACCTTGGGTTGGTAATTAGATGTTGTTCCAACTCAATATCTGGTAAAAGTACTTTTGTGCTGTCTGTTGTTTGCTTAATCTGGTTAACTATTGTTGTATTATCAACTGTTTTAATTTGATCAAAGAGATTAGTCATTAACCTGTCTTCAGAATACACATAGTTTGGCAAGTAAGCTTCAGCTGGAATAATTGAAGGATTATATGGAAAGATTCCACATGATTTAAACCCAGATTCAATATTAGCTTTTGTCATACTTTTATTCCAGGCTTTGGTTAAAAGTCCTGTAAAATTGGCCTTGTTTATTATAACCCCAGGGTGATTAGACATCAGATCCTGGGCTGCTTTATTATATGAAACTTTGAATGGCTTAAATACAGTTCGATCACAAGGTTGAAGCCAATTGCTTGTATGAGCAGGTAATTCAACAATTTCAATTCGGTTTTGTATGGCCATATCTATTAACTCTACGAAATTATGGGAATCGTGGCCATCTAAAATTAAAACTTGTGGACGTTGTGGTCCAATGTTTTTTAAAAATGTAAGCTCAAACCATAGTTTTGCAATCCCTTGTTTAGTCCATCCAGATTCACTTGGACTCCAGTTGGTTCCTTCAGAGGCATCTAGAACTTGAAAACTTTGACGGGATTTTACTGTCTTTCCTTTTGGAATCACATGAGGTGGTAAGGCTCTTCCTGCTGCATTCACACAAACAATTAAAGTAATCATTTCTCGATTTCCACTTGTTCTCATATGTAAATATTTTGTACCTTTTGCAGCAACTATTTTGTGCGCCTTAAAGTCTAGCTACAGTCCTGTCTCATCCATGTTCCATATTACTTCAGGCTGACAGTCTTTAATGACTTCTTTAAGTGCAGTAAAATAATTTGCCACCTTCATCAGATTCATGCATTGATGACGAACTGATGCTGTTGATTCTGGTTGTCGAAGAGTTACTTTTTTGTTATGTCGATTGTTAAGTAGTCGCCACCATTTATTAGATGGTTTGCCATTCTTAAAAGAATATCCATATTTTTTGGCAAGCTTGCCAGCATATACCAAGAATTGTTCTTTTCCATGCCCATCCTAGCTCTGTTGTCTGCAAAATCGAGTAACTTTTTTTCAAGATCAAGCGGCATTAAACTTTTTCTTCCTGCTTTTGCACCAATCTCAACTTTTCCATTTATCCTGCTCTGCAAAGTTGCTCGGGGTACTTAAAAAATTTAGCAGCAGCTCTAACAGACATTTTAGGTGAACTAATAACACTGTTTATAGCTTCAAGTAACACTTCCTCTTTATATTTCATATATTTACCTCGAGTTGGATGACATTGTTTCTTATTATAAATTTTATTTTTATTATCAGCCATTCTAAAATGAAAACTTTATATTATAAATTATTAAAATTTTCAATTAAAGATTATTTTTTAATATAATTTCATTTATAAGTAATAATTTACATGAAACAATATAATATCTTTCAATTATTTAGACTTTTGTTTATTTTTAAGTCATCATCCTCAAATTTTAAAAATATTATATAAATATTTAACTAAATAAATGCAAATATTTAAGATTGATAACTTTTAGGACATAAATGTAACATAAAGTACTTATGTTAAAAGAATAAAATCTAATAATATAAATATCATACAAGTATGAGTTACTTTTAGACACTCGTGAACCTAATTTCGGCCTTGGCCGGAATAAGGTTTATACCTGGCCGGATTTTGGTCTTTCTACCAGATGCAATTAATTAAGAAATGCAATCTATAGTAATGACTCAACATAATTATAAAGCTAAAATTGTCTTTTTAAGAAATATATTTATAGTTTAAAATGATTAACATTTCGTTAAGTAATAAATATTTAATATTTATAAGCTTCAAACTGGATGCTTACATGATATTTTAAATATAAAGTAGTACTTTTTTGAGATAAATATTTTTTATGATGTTACTTCTATTATAAACAGCCGCCAACTATAACAATGCTTTTTTTTATTGGCTGAATTCATACCAGTCTCAAAAAAGTAGCATTTACAAACATAAAGCAGAAAACAAGACAGAAATAATAAATTTAAAATGTGGCTGGAATTTGGTCACTGGCTCGAATTTGGTCAGTTTACCCTAATTAACTCAATGATATATTAAGAATAACTTAATTTAATTTGTATTATTATTGTATTATTGTATAATTTAATTTGTATTATTACGTCATTGATATATTAAAAACGCAACAAGATTCATAAAAGGTTGTGTCAGTTAACGCAACGAGATTCATAAAAGGTTGTATCTAGATATCCCACTCGCAACAATTTTATGATATTAGTATTTCGCCGAATAATGAAATAATGGACTGGAACGCTGCCTCTCCAAACCGAAATCCTCAGTCGGTGTGGGTTTACACGAAGTCTATCTATAAATCAGTCGTTGTATATAAACTCTACTGCGCCTATTCCTAAATCAGTCAATATAAGTACACTACCTTTATCCCTAAATACTATATTGTTCGGCAAATTACTAAACTCGTCAAAATCAAAATTAGAGTGGGATATGATCTAGACACAACCTTCATAAAAACGTTTTATTAATGATATAATAAATGAAGTTAGCATAAAACGGTAATATATTTTAAATTCGTGCTAGTAAAATTTAGATCTCAATATGTTGCGTGACAATATTGTTTAAGATTACACACAAGGGATGTAATATTCTAGATACCAAATACAAATCTCTCTCTCTCTATATATATATATATATATATATATATATATATATATATATATATATATATATATATATATATATATATATATATATATATATATATATATATATATATATATATATATATATATATATATATATATATATATATATATATATATATATATATATATATATATATATATATATATATATATAAGATGAAGGAAGCCAATTCCAAAGAACTGATGTTCGAGGAAAAAAACTAGACGAGTAAGAGTTTTTGGAGCACTTAGGAACAGTAACAAAAAAAGGATGAGACTTAATTGAATGACGAGTGACACGAGAATGAGTTTTAGTAGATGGCAGAAAAGAGAAAGAGAAGCAACATTACGACAATGTGACAGAGGTTGAAGGTTGGCAGCAAGAGCAGGACCATCTATGTTTACAATGCGTTTTTGAACCTTTTCTAAAAGAGAAAGGGCATCATTAAAAGATCCGCCCCAGATATGGCAACAGTATTCCATACAAGGCCCGATTTGAGATTTATAGAGATAGAGAATAGAATCCAGAGTAAGAAAGTGTCGAGCTCGATAAAGAGAAGCAACTTTAGCATATGCTAATTTTGCAACTGATTTGATATAAGGTTTCCAAGAAAGATCAGAAGTAAGAGTTAATCCTAAAAGATGAAGGATAGGAGACTCGTCGAGTACATTGCCGTTTATAAATATAGGAAAGTCTAAATTATGCGATAACAACTGGCTAAAAAAAATTGAGTTTTATCTTAATTAAAGTTCACCAGCCACTGTGAGCCCCATGCTGTATCAGAAGTGAGATCCTTTTCAAGCTCAGATGCCCCCTGCAAGCAGTCAGCGGGAGTTGGCTTCTTATCGTGACAAGAATAAATGGTAGTATC